GAGGGAGGGAGGGGAGGGAAAGGGGGAGAGAGAGAGAAAGAAACATCAATGGGAGAGAGACACTTTGACTGGTTGCCTCCCGTGGGCTGGGGGTGACCCTGCAACCCAGGTATGTGCCTGTGACCAGAAATCAAACCCTCAATCCTTCGGTACGAGGGCCGGCACTCTAACCGCTGAGCCACAAGGGCCAGGGCCTGTTGTACTTTTTTAAACTGTGAAATAGTCAAGTGTTGTTTCACAAAATAAAAACAAGATCCCATTTCAATCCTATAAACAGAAAGACTGGAGATGAGTAGTCTACAGTGTGGAGCTAAGCCCTGGGACCCTGCTCAATGAGAATCCAGCTTAGAGGGTGACTTTCCTTTTGCCTCCATGGTCACTGCTCAAAGCCATTCTTAAAGAGGCATAGTCAAGCATTCAGAACAAAGATCCACTTTCTTTCCCACTTCTTTTCTTTTTTATTTTATTTTTTAAAATTACAGATGTCCTTTTTCTCCCCAGTGACCCATTCCACCCCTTCCTACCTCCAAGATCCACTTTTTTTAAAGTCAAAATTAAACAGTAGGAAAAGACAGAGTACAACTTAATCACTAAAGTCCCAAACTCTCTCAAGACTTTTTCATCAGTTTCTTTAAATGATTTCTTTCTAGAATTGTACTAGGATGGAAGGCCAAAGGTTTCCTCATGTCAACGCAGACCTTGCCTAGAAACACAAGTGAACTGTGTTCGGGTCCCTCTGTGTCCTCCACTAAAGGAGGGAGAATAGGAAGGAGGAAGCAGTTCCACTTGTCGGGGAGTCAGTATACGCCACAGTACTCACTCATCGTAGCACTCCAAACCTGAAACTCCTGTATTCGATACAATGTGAAATTCTTCAGGAATCAAAGTATCTGTGAGCTTCTTCGGCTTAAAAAGAATGACAAGAATGAAAACATTAGTTTTTTTTAAAAAAACGAATTGCACAAATCCTAATTGCTGTCCTAAAGGGATGCTATTTATGAAGAGATTTTGATCAGAAAAATAATATTAGTAATAAGGGACATGGCAAGTAGTAAAAAAATTTTTAGTAGCCTGGCCGGGCATGGCTCAGCTGTTGAGCATCTACCTAGGATCCGGGAGATCGCGGTTCGATTCCCAGTCAGGGCACATGCCCGGGTTGTGGGCTCGATCCCCAGTTGGGGGCATGCAGAAGGCAGCCGATCAGTGACTCTCTCATCACTGATGTTTCTCTCTCTCTCTCCTTTCCTCTCTCTGAAATAAAGACATATTTTTAAAAAAAAATTTTTAGTAGAGCATATATTTTTCAAAACATGAATTACATAATAACCTTGGTCTATTAGTTAAAGGTGTCCCATATACTATTCAGAAATCCATTGACTTTAAAATTCAATAGGAATTTAAAATTCAACTTAGCAATATCCCCAAAATAAGAATTCTACAACTTTAAACTGTGGATTTCTTTTTCAAAAAAATCGAATCTCCTGTACTGTATTTTCTAGATTAAAGTGAATAACTGTAGTTTGGAAAATGGCTTAAAATAAGATACCTTTGATTTTCTCACTAAATACCTTTTCCTAGAAATAATTCAAAACACTATGAAAACTGATAAGCAATGCAGTTTGTAGTTACAGTACAACATTGCTTTATATGTTGGGAAAACATTTTTTTTTTAAAGAGAGGAAGATGAAATTATCAAATTATTTACCTTATGAGGCACAATGACACCATCATGTGTCTGTAATGAGTGGCCTGAGTGTGGGGGACAAAGCACACCCTCCCGAGCCTCTCCTTTGACATATTTAACATCGTACAGAAAAGAAATATCCCTAAAAAGTAAGAGAAACATATTTTCAAAATCAATTTTCAGTCTGGCAACTGGGTGAGAGTAAGGTCCACACAGACCCTTCCCGCGGGTAGCAAGGGACATGCGGCTGGTCCCACCTCATGCGTCCCTGAGGCTGAGGCATGAGGCGCGAGCTCTCCCCAGTCTTTTCTCTATCACGCTCATCACACATTCTTTCCTTCCCTTCAGGCTCAGGCTAAGACACATGCCCTTTCTCAGGACACTTCCCCACTTACACCCTCGGGTCCCCACTGCATCAAGCATAACCTCTGGGCCTCCCCTGGGCCAGGCGTTCTCCTGGGTCTGTACCGCGAGGCCTTTCCCCTGCAGGTCTCCCCTGACCACGCGTTGCCCTTTTACCATCATCCATCGGCTGACCCGTCGCTCGATTGATCGCCCATCTCTCATTTTCAGTTAAACATCAAGCTTCTTGAAATTTCCCGAAAAACCCAAGTTCCATCTCCATCTCTGTTCTGAAACTATTCTCCAGAAAGCTGACCACTTTCCACTGCTCAGTTACCAGTTCTCATCTTCCACTATTTTCCTGAATTTTTTTCCAGGGTTGGTCACCTCTCTTTTTAAAAAACATTTATCTTCTGTGCTGGACTCCCGGGTTCTTTTATCCTAACTGCTCTGCGGACTTCTCTGTGACCTCCTGACTACAAAGTGGAAATGCTCCACAACATCGTCTTCATCCCCCTGCTCTCCTTTCCCTGCACTTTCTCCCGGGGCAGTGCCATCAGACCTCACCTTGCTGCATTTGCCACCTCCAGACACAGCTGGTGTCTCCCTCCATTCTCACTTGCACCCTCCAATATCCGCTGTCAGCACCACCACTCTACTCATCAAATCCCGGTGTCCGTAATCGCTAGCCTCCCATCCTTAGCCCTCTATACCCACCGACCCCTAACACATGAACCGCACGGCCGCCCTCCTGTCACTCCAGTGGTTGATCCTTTTGTCTTTTGCCAATGCCGAAATCACTAATCCAGATTGTCATTGTTTTTCATGTGGTTTCTTGTTTCTCTGATACATTCTACATGCTTCTACTAGACTTAGCTTCGTGCAGAGGTTATAATCATGCCACTCACTGCAAATGATTTTCAGATGTCTCTGCCCCTCCCCCCCAATTTTAATTGGTACAGCTATTGTGGAATACAGTACATTGGTTCCCCGAAAAAATAAAAAGTAGAACTACCATGTGACCCAGCAACCCTACTTCTGGGTGTACTATATATCCAAGGAAAATTAAATCCAGATCTCAAAAAGGTATCTGCACTCTCATGTTCATTGCAGCATGATTCACAACAGTGAAGACATGGAAACAACCTAAATGTCCATCAACAAATGCATAAAGAAGACATGGAGTATATACCTACAACAGAATGTGATCCAGCCTTAAAAAGGAAGCAAGCTCTGCCACTTGTGACAATACATTGAACCCAGGGAATATTATGCCAAACGAAATAAGCCAGACAAAGAAACACAAATAACCACATGACCTCACATGTGAGAAGAGGGAGTGGGGCAGGGGAGAGAAATGAGATGTTGGACAAAAGGTATAAAGTTTCAGTTATGCAAACTGAAGGAGTTCTGGAGATCTAATGTACAGCATGGTGATAGCAGTTAACAAAATCGTATTGTATCCTTGAAATTTGCTAAGAGAATAGATCCTTGGATGGATCTAGAGAAAATTATGCTAAGTGAAATAAGCCAGGCAGCGAAAGACAAACATCACATGATCTCACATGAAAGACAAACATCACATGATCTCACATGAAAGACAAACATCACATGATCTCACTTGAAAGACAAACATCACATGAGCTCGCTTATACGTGGAATCTAAAGAACTTAATAAACTGATGAACAGAATAGATTCAATGACATGGAAGCATAGATGAGACTGACGAATGTCAGAGGGATGGAGGAGGGCGGGTGGGTGGAGGGGGAGAGAGTAACCAAAGAATTTATCTGCATATATGCACAGCCCAAGGACACGGACAATGGTGAGGAGAGGGACTGGGGAGGGGGATGAGACTGGGTGGAACGGGTGATTGGGGAGAAAAAGGGACATCTGTAACATTTCAAACAAAAATAAAATTAAAAAAAAAGAGAAAAGATCTTAAATTTAATCTCACCACACACACGGCAACTATACTGAGGTGACAGATTATTTAGCTTGATTGTAGTGATGTCACACTATATACATTTATCAAAACATCAAGTAGTACACCTTAAACACATACAATTTTCACATGTCAGAGCAATAAAGTTTTTTTTAAGCTGCTCTCAGGATGATGGGACATCAGTTACTATTACACCAATGACAGCTTGATAAGTTGACCAACCTTTGTTTTTTTAAAAACAATGAGTGGTTTATATGTGTGTATATATATATATATATATATACACACATACATCCTTCTAAAGAAAATGGTTTGGTTACTGTCATTCAAATTTTCTCAAAGGCTAAGTTTAAGAGCCTTTTATATTTCTATTATTGAATTATTGGGTTTATTTTTAGAGGAAATATGTTTTTTATTTGTTGGAATATAATTTTTCATTAAAATAGAAATATGTTTTACTTCTCTTAAATTCTTGTGGTAAAACATCTGCTCACACTCCTCCAAAAAGCTATTTTTATTTAANGTATATATATATATATATATATACACACATACATCCTTCTAAAGAAAATGGTTTGGTTACTGTCATTCAAATTTTCTCAAAGGCTAAGTTTAAGAGCCTTTTATATTTCTATTATTGAATTATTGGGTTTATTTTTAGAGGAAATATGTTTTTTATTTGTTGGAATATAATTTTTCATTAAAATAGAAATATGTTTTACTTCTCTTAAATTCTTGTGGTAAAACATCTGCTCACACTCCTCCAAAAAGCTATTTTTATTTAAAAACAAACAAGAAACAAAAAAATGCTTTGATTCTTGGCCATAACATAAATTTTATTAAACTTTAAGACATTTTTCATCCCTTTCTCTAGCCCCCAAATTATAAAACCAAGTTCATACTTCAAACTTTTCTCCAGATCATCTGGTTGTTATATGCATAAATAAGCATGTGCTTTATCTGAAGTTGTCAGGGAATGAGGCATTTCAGAGATACGATTTTCCAAATAATTGAGGTGTGCTTTGTAACATTGTCTTCTTAAAATGTGTTTAAAACATTGTGGCTTTCTTAAACAGAATATATATAACATGATATAATCTTTGTAATTCAGGTTCTGACTTAGGAAGCTGGAAGTTTCTTGAGGGCTGTTTGGTCATGTTTCTGAGACCTACTATAGGGCTGGACATTCAGTAGGCTCTGGTGTGTGTTGGACGGTCTCTGTACTGGAAGGTTGGAAAGTGCTTTCCCAGACAGACACCCTTATAGGTGGGATTCTGGGTGTAAACTCAGTTCCATAAGTAGATGCCCTTTTGCAAGATTTTGGAGGTAGAAGTGAGGCAGAAGCCAGTTTGCTGCCATGTTTTAGCTGATTCTGTCAGCGACATTATGGAAAAGTGGTTTTCCTGAAGCAACATTCCTGCATCCATCCTCCTGCAGCCCGAGTCCAAGGAGGCAGTGCACTACCAGCAGCCGTGCCAGCTTCTTGATTTCAGTTTCCTGATCCTTGGATCACAGCTGAGGAAGGCATTTTTTTATTGTGATATAATTCACATACCATAAAATTCACCCTTTCAAAGAGTACAATTTACAGGTTTTTAGTATGGCAACAAGTTTTTCGTATACTCACAATTTGCAAGTGTGTAGCAAAGTTGTGAAGTTGTATAATTTTCATTAGTACCTAATGCCACAATATTTTCATCACTCCACAAAGAAACCCCTTACCCCTTAGCAGTAATTCCCCCACTCTCCTCTCCCCACCCATTTTGTCTCTATGAACATGCCCATTCTGGACACTTTAAATAAACAGAAACATACAATATGGGTCCTTTTGTGAACGGCTTCTTTCACTTAGCGTGTTTTCAAGGCTCATCGATGTTGTAGCATGTATCAGCACTTCATCCCTTTTTATGGCTGAATAATATTCCATTGTAAATATACATTTTGTTTATCCTTCATCAATGGTGGACAGTTGGGTGTCTCCACTTTCTGACTCTTGAACTCTTGTGGCAGCTTTGCAGGCAGTAGCCTTCATGAGGGGTTAATTCCATCCTGCTCTATTGCTTCACACTTGCTCCTTTACCCCTTCCAATAATTTTGTAAATACTCGATTTCCTGCTTAAAATACCTAGAGTGCTTTATTTTCTACACTGCATTCTGACGGGAAGAGTTGTTGAAAATATTACTCAGAGGCTATGTGCTTGGCTGTTTTGTATTTTACTGCTTTGCTCTGAATAGTTAAGGTTACTATACAAGTTACCTCTTATTATGAATACTATTAATTCTGCACACATGTATTAATTTCCTACTGGTGCCAAACAAATTACCACAAATTTAGCAGCTAAAACACCACCAACTTATTATCTTATAGTTCTGTAGATCAATGGTCCAACACAGGCCTCACTGGGATAAAATCAAGGCATTGACAGGGCTATGTCCCTTTCTAGATGCTCCAGGGGAGGATTTGGTTTTTGGTCATTTGGGTTGTTAACAGAATTCAGTTCCTTGTGGTTCTAGGATCGAGATCCCTGTTTCTTTGATGGTTGTCAGCTCAAGGCCACCCCAGCTTCTAGTGCCCAATGGCAATCCTTAGCTTGTTTCTCGCTTCCTCCATCTCAAAGCCAGCAATAGCAGGCTGAATCCCTCTCAGATTTCAAATCTGTCCTTCACCTGTCTCATCCCTCCAACCCATTCAACTGCCTTCCTTTTCCACTTTTGAAGACGTAGGCAATTAATTTGGGCCCATCCTGATAATCCAGGATAATCTCTCCATCTCAAGGCCCTTAACCTTAATCACATCTGCCAAGTCCCTTTTGCCATGTAAGGTTCTGAGGATTACAGTGAGAACGTTTAGGGGGAGGCCATTATCCTGCCTACCACAGAACAGATCTTCACATTTAAAAAATTCCAAAACAGAAGTGATTTGACATGGAAGCTTCAATGTCAGTTAATTGACACATTCAGATATAGCTAATTATTTTTTCAAAGTACTTTAAACATCTCATAACTACTGAGTATTACTATTAATAATTACAGCCATGATCTGATGGCATAAAATATATTTTATGACACTAAGTCCCCAAGACATAAAAGTCAATGGTCCAAGTTTCTGCCACTTTTTCTAGCACTGATATAGTGGAATAATAACACCTTATACTTAAATAGCACTATGTAGTCTTGCAAGTACTCTTCCATTCATTATTTCATTTGTTCTATATCCCTGGGAGGTACACAAAATGGAGCAAGTCTATTATTCCCTTCTTATAAATAAGAAAACGGAACTCAGAAAGACTAAATAACCTGTCCAAGCACCAGCAAACATTTCTTTTAGATGAAGTGATAGTTCAGTAAGAAGCATAAAGAGTTGACAAATGGATCATACACAGAAAATGAGCAGGTCACAATCTTTCACAGGGAAATGTAGACATTTAGAATATGTTTAGGAATGATATAAAAACAACAAATACTACTTACGGATTTGATGTGAAACAGTGTAAAGGTTAAGGGTTCATTTTGAGGAAAACCAGGGATTGAGTACTTGTTTTTCAAGGTTTTCCCCAACCAGGGATTGAGCACTTGTTTTTCAAGGTTACCCAGCATTTCTCAGATGTACAAATACAAGAGGCACTAGAGGCATTCTGCCTGTGAGAACTTGTCCTTTTTACTAGGGCGCAAGGAATAGGAGAGTAAGGGGCCAAGTACAGAAAGGCATGCAAAAAGAAAATTTAAACAAACTGAAAGTAATTACAGGTAGCGCCTACTGCCATTCTACTGATAATAAGGTGGTCCCTCTTCAGATCGTACTGTGATTCATCAAAGATACTGCAAGCTTTAAAATGTTTGATTCTGATTTTTCCAATGCTGCCCCTCCCAAGGAAACCATCCGAGATGAGAAAAAACTAGTCATCTGCATCTATCCCTGCTATCTTCCTTCTTTACCTTCCAGCTCCTGTTAGGGAAACAGGATGATCAATGAGATAGCTGAACTTATCCCTTCGAATAGGGTGATGCCAGACACGATCAGCAAGGCGTGGAAGGGTACCCTGGTATAAAAGCAGAAACATGAATACACAGCAGGGGGCGCACCAGTCAAAGAAAATCTATTAATCATTTTGAGGATTTACATTTAGGGCATTGTTTATTCTACAAAAAAAAAAAAGAGAGAGAGCAAAAACCTGATTCAATACTATGAAGAAAGACTGAAACTAGGAAAATTCAATATGAAAGAAAAATATCAAAACTAAGGGTAGTAGTGATCATTTAGGTAACTCACAAGTTAATGGAAATACTCAAGTATTTCCTTAGAAACATTCATGCAAAAGGCTTTAGTTTTCAATATGGAAAATTAATTTAAAAATATTTTAAGACAAACTGAAATATATAACATGTGCTCAATAAGTACTTAATGAATGAACTAAATACCAAAAAAGATGTGTCCCAAAGTACTTTATATATGTATATACACACCTTTGGGGTTTTAATTTTCTTAGGAGGCAATAAATTTTCAGGACAAGAACCAGCATTGGCTGTATAGGTCAGAGAAAGAAGAACTTCCTCAGGGATGAACTCATTCTGAAGAGAAGTAGGAAGGGGTTTTGAGCGATCCACCATATTTTTTTTCTCCCTTAGTTCAGGAAGTCCTGAGAAAGTAATGGGGGAAAAAAGCTTACTGTGGTTTTTAGGAGTTAATTGGAGATTCCCAGGCTGCCTCATCAATCCCGTTTATATGTTTCTAGCAGAGGGAACAAACACTGCTTCTGGTTGTCAAGAATATTTAAAACACTGAACATTATCTGGTGAAGAAAAAGAAACTCATATTGCCTGCCCACCCTACACTTCCATCAGGCACAGGTTCAAAAACTCATGTACAAAGATGAACTTCCATTATGCCAAACTCAAAGTTGAAAAATAAATTCACTTCACTTGCTCAACTAACTGGGACAGCCTTATGATAATTTTCCCTCTGATGTGAAATGACAAAAGAAACCCCCTGTTCTCAAAACTGTCAAATTATTTAGTATACTTTTTCTATATAAATTTGAAGGTGAGAATAATTGCATTAAATTGGGCGTTTATTATAGAGTGGAAGGGATCTGGATTGGGTTTAAGAGTAAAAGTAGAATTGGGACTGTTGGAAATGAAGAGTGGAATAGTCTGAGCAAACTGGTAGAGTAAGAACAGTACAAAGAGTGTTCTGCTCAGCTCGACTAGGGCAGAGGAGTTATAAAGATAAGGCTAATACAGGAAAAAGTCTCCTATGAAGTCAGTTAAGGAATATCAGGTTGTCACTTTTAAAGAACTCTCCACTAATCTCTGCCCCTCACTTAGTATGGTTTGTGTTCATTTCCACAAGGAGGTATCATGCTTTGATCACCTCTAAAGTTCACATTACTAAATCTCTATCTCTTGAAAGTTTGGGGTGGAATCAGAGTATCAGAGGAAAGAAAAAAGAAAGAAAAAATTTAAGCGGGGCTTTAGCACAATCTCCCCTAAAAACAAGATTATGGTCAGATAGAGGAAACCTTAATATAATGGGGCTGTAGGAATGAGTCTAGCTGATTCTTATTCTAGTACAGATCTGCATTTATCTGTATACGGATGAATATCTTAAAGAAGAAATTATTCTCATTTAGAATAATTATGAAAAACTGATACATACTGGTTCCTTACCAGATAGCAAAAAAAAAAAAAAAAAAAAGTAATTTCATACAACTACTGGTATTTAAAATAGGGTGAATTTAAAACTATAAAATCATCAGCCTTTGCAAAAGAAATTATACAGTAGTCCTTAGGTGCAGTAGTGAAACAGCAGTGTGACTCAAAAATACTATAAAAGGAATGGCTTTTGATTTTATTGCAACAGGTGTATTGAAAAAAAGCAAAGCTCATTAAGGTATCCCGAAATCTCAGATTAAAGAAAACGGTGGACGGATCCTTTCTGTCAACGGCCATGCTTATTTACGTCTGTGGGACCCTCGGAGAACTTTACCTGTCTCTTCCTTGCATGCAGAGACTTTTAGTTTTTTGCCCTCAAGCGACGTGGAGGGCGTTTTCGAGTGAGCCATAACAAACAACACCTCAAATCACTCTCTTTAGTAATTTGAAATATCCTTCCAGAAAGGTAACCTAGAAACAAATCAGCAGCACGTTGGGCAGGGCTGCCACCTTGACCTGCAGGAGTTAAAAAAAAAGGGGGGGGGGCACTCATTACGAACTTATGTTAAATATCGGAGTTGACAATTCATCTAGCATGGGTCTTCCTTGTCTGGGGAGACTTCTGCGTTCCCTCCCGTCCCCGGCGCGATCACGAAGCCTGGGGGTGGGTCACGGTGGGCGTCCGAGCCCCGGAGGAAACGCTGGCCCCCCACCGGCCGCCGGCACCCCTGCAGGCCCGGCCTCCGGCCTCCCCCCACAGGCAGCGCCCTCGCACAGCAGCCGCACAGACTCGCGTCCCGCACCGTTCGCACCGTTTCTGCCTCAGAAGCGGCGGGAAACAGACTTGCAAGCCGTGCTCGCAACTGTTTCCCGCGACATCTTGGGCCCCGCCTTTTCCCGAAGCGCCTACGCGTCGTCATAGCAACTCAGGACCCCGGGCCTTAGCCGCTCTCAATGGGGGCTGCCTTCCGCGGTGCCTGCGGAGGAGGGAGACAGCTAAGAATCCCAACAGTCTCTCGCGGACTCGATGTGTTTTAAATCGCAGCACAGGTTCAGTAGCAACGAAGAATAAAGACGTTTAATCGGGCCGTTCTCACGGAGCCCGAAAGCGTCTTGCGCTCGGGGCTTCCACTGCCCACGGCCGGTGACAGTGCGCGTGCCCTGGCGGGGGTCGCCCCTCGCCCCTCCCCCCCGGCGCTGCGGGCTTTGAGCGAGCGTCCCGTTTTCCCACTGCGGTGTACCTCATGTTTTCGCTGTTTTGCATATCTTTCTAAAGGCCAAATTCTGGGGGAAACGGGTAATTAAAACAGTTGGCATTGGTCGAGGCTTTATTGTGGAGGTTGCCCCGCCCCTGACCCCTCCATCAGTTCTTCCTGGGACACTGGCCCTCGCCCTCCCAGCGCGCCTTAGGCATTCCTTGAGGGAGGCATTGCTTGGCAGGAGACAGAGAAAGAATGCGCTTAAGCTGGAGCCAACCAAAGTAAAATCGGTTCCTCTCTAAAGATAACATCTGGGGAAAACACAATGAACAGTGGGTGGGCTTTTGCAACAATCTCCCTTTTACCGACTCATTTCCCAAGTGTGGGGGCGGGGTTCACTCACACATCTGTGGGCATTTAAACACAGCAGGCAAAGCTCCCTGAAGGAGGCTGAGTGAGAAGTAGGCCAGAATTGTTTAATGTAACTAAAAAATGAAGGTATTAATCAGAAATGTTTAAAAAAGGACACTGAGAAATCTAGGCACTACTCAGCCAAACTCTTCCCAGGGGCAGGGTAGCTTCTAGTATTGCTTCCACACAAGGATGTCATTAAAACTGAAATGGTGCCACCGACTGTCTTAGTTTTAAGTCAGATTTCAATTTATCTAAGTACCCTCCTTCTGATTCCACATGGGTATGCTTTTTAAATTTATTGATTTTAGAGAAAAGGGGAGACAGACATCGATTGTTGTTCCACTTATTTATGCATTATTGGCTGATTCTTGTATGTGCCCTGAATAGGAATTGAACCCGCAACCTTGGTGTATCGGGACAATGCTAGAACTAAGCTACCCAGCCAGGGCAGTAATATGCTTTTTGTCTCATTCACAAGTGTCTCTTCAGTGCATAGCACAGTACCTGGCACCTGGTGTTGATGCAGTTTAGAACAAATTCATCTTTCTCATCATACAGGAAGTTGGGCTTCTACAGAGAACAGATTCAATGACCATGCTAACCTGAGTATATTACTCCAAGTGTGATTTCTCCTGGTATATTTACAAACTGGTATTCTCCTACTTTATTAATCAGATGCATGAACCTAGTTAATTTGGGTCCAAAGGCAAGCTGAGCCTAGGACAGGACCCTAAACTTTAGTAAATTGATCAAGGAGAGGCATGTCTGATTTCTGAAGGAACTTCCCCTTCCCACTTGCCTGCAGAGGCAGGTGGGTAAAGCCACACCACGGAGGGCAACTAGAGAGTATTTCTTGTCTGTTACTACCATACAGTGGGCCCTTCATATCCACAGGTCCTGCATCTGCAGATTCAACCAACTGCGGCTAGAAAATATTTGGGGAAAAATTAGATTGTTGCTGATGTGTACTATGTAGTTCATTAAGCCTATGATATTTGCATCTCCTGCACATGTGTAGACTTTCTTCCTTGTCATTATCCCCTAAACAATACAGTATAACCATTCACATAGCATTTACACTATAATATGGATTATAAGTAATGTAGAGATGATTTAAATTGTACAAGAGGATGTGTAGGTTATATGCAAACCAGGTATGTCCCAGTTTCTTCCATTTCTGAGCCATAAACATAAAGCCTAGTGATAAAGACTCGTGAAACTACGTCCAAGACAGTTCTTTGATAGTACATATATATCTACCATACCATACATACACGTAAACTGTATTATATAAGCTATATAAGTGACATGAAATTTTGCACAAGATTGGTAAGCAAGTCACTTAAGTATCAACTATCTTTCATTAAGAAGTTTCTTCTGCCTTCCTAGACTATAAGCATTCTTTACAATGGCACATATCAGGCCTCATTAGTTTCCTTCCTCTCCATAAATTCTAAAACTTACGTTAAAAGTATACACATTGGTTCTAAACACCTGACTTAAATACCTGGGTAAAAGCAGAAATGTATTTCTTTATAGAAGCTTGTCACCCTAAGGTAATGCTAAACAGATAAATGTGAAAGTCATCTGGAGAGGTGGAAACATCAGTGAGTGCCTTTAACAATCTCGTTCAATTCTTGTCAATTCCATTATGAAGAGCATATTACATCAGTCAAGGTGCAACACCAATTCACGTCATCCAGAGAGTCTACAAAGAAAAGCACCTATTTTTGGAAGTTTGCAGCGCTTGAAGCATTCACATTTTTAAAGGATTCCAATGAGATCATAAGGGTGTAGGTTTAGAATTTATGGATGGTAAGAAAATAATGAGGCCCAATTTCTGCCAGGGTCAGAGCTTTGCAACAACTCTATGAGGTAGTTATTACCCCATTTTACAGATGAGGAAAACGGTGGCCCTGATAAATTAAGCAACTTTGCCCAAGGGCACACTGCTAGTAAGTATGGGGCTATCCTAATCAAAAATCTGCGTGTGCTCTTTTCTCCCTGCACCACTGGTTTTTAAACTGGGGGTAGGAGAAAAATGGGTGTACAAACACAAAGGGCTCCAGCACCCCCATCTCTCTCTCAACCAGAAGCAGCCATATTTTATCTGTTTTACATGCTGGGCTGAAGTGTAACAATTTATTCTTTTAATGGTTTAGGCCACCTGGTTACTACAGCTATATGAGTTTACCTTCATTACTTTTCCCCACACAAAACAATGAACTTTACTCAAAATTACTTATGATCACACAAAACAAAGATCATCTTTTTTGCATAAAAGACTTCAACAATTCGTAGATTATATCACATGACCAGCTTTTAAGCACAAAATGTTCTGTTATGTTTTCTACAAGATTTCAGGATTCAATTTTCCAGGCAAGTGTAATTTTGACATTACAATGAAAACTGCCTATAGTAAATGAATTGTTTGTAAATATATAACATTTACACGCTGTACTTTAATCTGTCAATGTCATTCATCCACTTTTACCTTGCAATAATTAAAAAAGGAAAAAAATATTTCCCCTCTCCATTTGCTTCCAAATGTAGTTACCGATAGGTCAAAAACAGTCTCGACTTCCTAATTAAATTCTAACATGAGGCAACTGCAGTAGATTAATCCACCAAAACCCAAAAAGCTCCATTTTCCTTCACTATTCAGGATTGAGAACAAAATCATTTAACAAATTTATGGCAAAGTTAGAGATCTTAGTAGTTCTCTTGGATAACACATCCAAAATAATAGTTACTATCATTAATATTTCTTATAGGAAGAAATTTTAAACTCCTTACTTTTCAAAGAAAAAAAGTACCATCCAGTAACTGAAAATAATTTTAGCAAGAGGAAAAAAAAAATATATCAAGAAATCTTCCTGAAACACGTTAGTAAGAAGTTTTTGTTTTAATTTATTTGTTTAAAGACTTTTGCTAGAAGCAGCTAGCAATAAGACCATGGCTATATCAAACTAGTTTCTTTCACAGAAAGTGGCTATTCCTTTGAGTGTTTCTGAAAATTTCTCAGGACGGTCTTATTCTAAAGAGTCTACAATTATACACTAATTATTTATTGTCACACAAAACTCTTGGGCAGGAAAGAAATCACTAATAAACAAAAGGAAGATGAGAGGTTTTGTTTGTTTTTAAATAGCCTTGATCAGTCCAACAAATACAGTATTCAGAACCAGTCCAGAGCAACAAAGTCCTCTCAATGAGTGGATGTTTACAGTACTGAACAGAAAGAAATACAGACCTAGGAATTCCATTCTCTCACATCAATAGATTGGCTTCTTCATATCCAAGTCTTACACCAACCCTGTTTTCTCAGCTCCCTCATTATATTTAAAATGTAGTTATAAATTTAAGTGGTTGGCTCATTTTAATTTTTAATAAAAACACCAGAAATCAGAAGCTGTATTAAAGTAGTCCTGTTTGGAGGTTACAGTTCCATTACAATCACACTACTACTGTGCAGATAATTATCACGTAGGAACATGTGGAACCTTTTTGAATATAACCTTCTTTGAGGCGCACTTTCGTCTGCTGAAGTTGGATTTAATGTTTAAAAACTGCCTAAATTCATCTGGATCAAAGGCATGGGGAATAAAATAGATGATTAAACTGGGTGCTTGTACAAATTAAGTTGTGACTATTAAGAAACTCTACTTACCTTCTTGTGAGACTCAAACTGTCTTTAAAACCATTTGGAAAAGATTTCCCAAAACTTTTTGGATAGTTGTCAGCCTGTTAGAATACCAAAAGGACTCTCGAGTTGGCTGCTCCAAATAAAATAACAATAACCTTCTGAGTAATTCATGTCTTACTTCTTTGGGCGGAAAGTTGAACTACATACATGGTCTCTGATATTCCTTCCAATGTTCAATTTTTACAAACATAATCACACCTCACACAAACAAAATAATTCCTTCACACCACACTGTATTAGCAATAGGCACCTTATAACATGGGAACATTACATAATACAGTACATTTTCTTGAAATTGATCACAGTAATTTGTTTCACCAAAAGTAACTACCATTAAAAGTATAATTAAGCAAATACAGAAGCCAGCTTCTGGATCTTTAATAATCATTTTAATATTAATGGAGGTGACTAATACTTCTGTTACAGACTTACTGGTCTGCAAAATAATTCAAGTCAGTATTTATTAGACAACAAAATAACTGAACGAAAGGATACTTCTAAATAACTTAAAAGAAGTTATGACCTTAAAGGTTTTTAAAATTATTTTCCACACAAGTTCCGTGATAAAATAATTTAAACATGTGACTGATTCTGCAAGTTTTAAAAAAAATTACTTTGAAAGTTACGAGGAAATATTTTTCTTTGTCCTGTGCCTTCTTCCTCTTTTCCTTCCTACTTCTGTTCTTCTCAATATATAATATTATGAATGCAAACTCAAGAATTCAAGGTGAAAGATATAATTTTCCTTCATAGAAACCATGATCTACACTGTATAGTGAAAACAAGATAAAACTTGGGCAGAATCAAACTTTTTTCAAAAAAATACAGGCTGAGAAAACCCCCCACAAATTAAGATATACAGTAAGATTATCTTTGGAAAGTAGATCTTTTCTCTTTACTAGAAATAGCAAAACATTCCCTATTTTCTTCTTTCCCAATTGCACAGTTAATTAGCATACATTCCAACAGTGTGCATGAAAAAAATTTCTAAGCCAGAGGTATTTAAATGATTTCTTCATAAATGTTTTGGCTAATTCAGAGGCTAAGAAAACATGATGTTTAGTTTCTAATTAGATAGTCAAGAAACAAAACATATAATTTCTGAGGCTTAAACTAAATATGACCCAGAAAAGATTTGTCATTGCGTTAGCTATTAAGTCTCCCTTCTCTGCAAAACAAAACAAAAAAAGTACTGCTTAAGTGTACATAATTCCAGTAAACTTCCAACAGCTCAGCTTCAGATGACCTAGATGAAGTGAGTCATCTGTCAAGCCTGGAGTGGTCCAAATAACACAGATAACTTCATCAGTAACAGCTGGAAAGAGATGCTGGCCCCAAATCAGGCCAGATACCCAGTCTTCAGTGTCAAGGAAGGAAACAAAGTCCAAGCTTCTAAAACACGTAACGGCAAGTCCAGGAACGTGGCCGGATATAATCCAGAAATGTGGGCTTCGAGGAAAAAAAGAAATGTAGCTTACTTCTGGGCACTATATGCATGAGTTGTGGGGGGAGATAGGGGCATTGATGTTATATACTCACAACTCTAAAATCCCTCCCAGCATTTCAGTAACCTTTAAGTTATAAGCAGCTCAATAATTCAAAAGATGTTCCTTATTTTTATCTATAGCATACATTTATTTGATTTAGAGGCTTTCCATGAAGTTTTTAAAGTCCAGTAAGCCCTACACAACTGCACTTCTATCCAAATTTCAAATAGGTACCACCTCTTTACGTATCTGGCATTTTATTTTAGCACACCCCTACTCTGAGTAGTCCAGAGCAGTTCGTTGAAATGCACACAGAGGATTAACAGGAAATACGGAGGGCACACTAGGGCAGCCTAACAAAAGCAGTGTAGACAGTGGAAGCTTTGGCAGAGAAACTGATTCATTTGATTGTGGGCACCTTCAGTTATAGGTGTCTGTGAGAAATACCCAGACAGGTATATAAAGACATCACCCTCCGAAATATGTGGGAGTTATCCACATACAGCTACTAAAAGCTAAAGCTCTAAGAATGAGACTCTTACATAATCATGAGGGGGAAAAACACACAAAAGAATCAAGGGAAGTGGGATCCTAGGCATATGATTGTAGCTGGACATTTTTACAAAGAGTTAATACTTTGGAAAGGAAGGGGTAAAAAAATACATATATGGCCTTAGCCAGCTTGGATCAGTGGTTACAGCGTTGCCCTGTGGACCCAAAGGGTGGCAGGTTCGATTCCTGGTCAGGGAACATACCTCAGGTGCAGGCTGGATCCCCAGCACTGGTTGGGGCATATGTGGGAGACAACCAATCAATGCATCTCTCTCACATCCATGTCTCTCCCCCCCAACTCCTTCCTCCCTCCCCTCCACTCTAAAAAAACAAAACAAAAACAACAATGGAAAAAATATCCTTGGGTGAGTATTAAAAATAAATAATACATACATATATGTTTAGGTGTGTGTGGAGGGGAAAATACACATATCCTACGTTTTTAGGACACAGGAAGAAAATTAGAAGGATATAAAGAAAAAGCAGTAAAAGGGAAGGAAATTTTTTAAAAAAAAGGGAACACAGCAGAGTTCAAAGTGAAGAAAAGCAAAGAAAAATTTCAAGGATAGTGCAGTAAGATCAGATAATGTTTCTCTCCCCTTAACATTAATTCATCATCATCTCCACTACTCTCCTTCCCCTTAATATTGCCTTCCAACCCTCACAATTGGGGACAAACATGTCACTTTTTCACTGCAGCCTGACTGATGACTCACATTTTTCAGAGGACAGTGCTGACGTGCATACCACTCTTGAGAATAAAAGCACAGGAGGACTCCCTGGCCCGCAAAAAGGGACGCCCACATCAGGACATTCCAAATTGGCCTTTTCCGGCTATCATTGACAATGAAGTTGAAAGCCACTAAAGTCAGGAAGAGAACAAAGGTATACATATCAAAACAATCTATAAGCAGCCTCAGGTATCTGCCGTAATCATCTCATCATCACAATGAGCATCAACTGTGTGTGTGAGTTTTATTCTGGCTACTGTTCCTATAAATAAAAATGAAGCTTCAGTGTTGAAGTTTATTAGTCTGTGATTAACTAGAAATCAGGTAGTATTCAGAATAGGTGAAAATATATTTCATGGAATCATTCATATTCTAACTTATCCCTTTCCCCCACCCAAAAAAGGGTCAGCTTTTTCAGCGGATGAACAATGACAGAGTTAAAGAATGGGATGCTGTTTTTTATTTTCGTGACCTACAAAATCAGTGTGACTGATAGTCTTCAAGAGGTTATTTGGTTCATTTCTCTGCTTCAAAGTATAAACATCCTGAAAGAGAGTTGTGTATAATTACTCAAAATCAATGTTCTTACTCTCTGATGAGCAAATTCTGCCTTGAGATGGTATTACTGCTTATTATCTAGTTTCCTACATTGATTTTATACTTTAATTTCTAAATTTCTCTTTTGGCATCATCTTCAGTCCTGTGGCATGCCAAGATACTTACTTCCAAAGAACATGAAGAGCACGAAGAGCACCGGGTAGAAAAAGCTCAAGCAAACAGCCAAGGCGTACTCGTGCACGACCGCAGACACTGCAAAAACGGCCAACATGGCAGCAGACCTGAATCTCTTGGTGAAAAACTAGGGTAAAGGGAAACGTCAGAAAGCAGTTTTTAATCAACCATGAGATTCAAGATTACAACTCATCAGTCTAAATACACTCTGCTCTGAACAATGTCTCAAAGACCCATATGACCAATAGGTGAGATATAAATCCAAACACAGGTGTTTCTCCACTTTGAACAGAACTCCCCTCCCCCAAAAAAGGCTAGAGGGAGATTACTTGTTATCAGTGAGATTCAAAAGAAATGATCCATAAATGGCGAATCATTTCAACTTCTTCGAATGCTTGTGTGCATTCTTACTTTGTAATTACGTAGAATAAAATCCGCAGTGAAAACATGGTACTAGACCCAGTAACTATCCATACTGGCCTCTAAGCAGTACTAGTCAAAGCAGGAGGTTTCTTAGACATAAATGGCTCGCAAGAGAATTAAAGACAACTAAGTATAATTTCTTCCAGCTGCACAATATTAATACTTTCTGGAAAAGGATCTCCATTTCTTGAACAACATCAACTAAATCTTGCTGCTTACCCAGAGAAAGTCCTTGTAAGCATAGTAATATAGCCAGTCATGGACCACCACATTCCAGGTCCTATAATAGTTGGAGTAGGATGTGGAGTTCCACCAATCCTGAGGAAAAAAACCCAAAGCAATAAAACTACACAGACACCACACACACACATACACAAACACACAAAGCCAAAGCAAAAAACCCCTAAATATTCCCAAAGAACATACACACATAATACCCAGAGTGTGTTATGATAAATTGCTAGTCCATACACTGATGTCAGAAAAATCTTAAAAGGCATTTTGGTTATTCATGTTCAAGAGGACATAAACTCTAGTTCTATATATGATTAATTTCCTAGTTTCACTTTGTCTCATTATGAAACAAGTTATGGTGGAAGAAACAGAACATATACAATCAATCTAGTGTTCCTCTAAACAGCAATCTGTAAGTCCCCATTGCCTTGCTAAAACACAATGAGAGAATTCTAAGGTCACATAGGGTTACGTAGCACGTTAACGCTAAAGAGCTGTTTGTTGTATCAAATAAAAAACTTAAGTTGTACAAGGAGTGAGATGGTGGCTACCTCCAAAACCTGGTGTTCCTATACCTTTATCTTGCTCCCTACTTCAAGATCAGACTAAGGGAATCAGACAACTAAAATTCACAACCTGCACTCATTTATTTCTTTGAGAAAGAGTGGCAGGCTTGGAGAGGTGCCAAAACCACAAGCAAACTAAACTCTGGACCCTGGCTCTAGTCTAGAGCTTAATTCCAACTTTGGAAGTATAGAATAATATTTCAGGCAGAATTAATGCCTTTCAAAAATAAAAGGAGAAAGTTATTTCCTTCCTTCAACAACCTTAAATGGAATAATTTGCTGAAATTACTCCTACAGAACCAGAGACAATTTCAAATGAATTTTTTTAAAAAATTATTTCACAATGTTCATGTTAAAAAGCTAGTAGCCAACAATGCTCAAATACCTGACAATGAGGACATAATGTGAAAAGAAAAATGAGTCCAAATATATATTACCTTATAAAACATTCTGTCACCAAAGCGTAACATCTCAGCAAAGGCATTGAGCCAACAGTGCAAAATGGCAAAAAAGGTAAGGAACAGCCCCAGCACACCTAAAAATAAAATTAACAATATTGAGACTTAACAAATAGTTCACATACCAAGCAGCTAATTATGTCATCACCTGCTTAGCTAGAATTACTTTGTAAAATAAAAATTATTATTCCAGCTTACTCATTCCAGAGGTGATAGTGTTCTTCTGAAAGTTAATTATTTTAATTTTATAAAGCAGTAACTTCCTTCCAAATGAATTTTACAGATGACAAATGACTCATTTCTATTTTAACAGAAATGCCTAGATGTATGGCTTAACTTGATACCGAAGGCCCTTTAAAATCTGGTCCTTATGCATTCCTCTAAACCAGTTGTTTAAAACTGGGGGAGATCTCCCCAACTCCCACCCAACAGGGACATTTGACAATTCTGAAGCCATTTTTGGTGTCACACCTCAAGGGATGGGGGTTGTGCTATTGGTATCTAGTTGATAGAGGACAGAATGTTGTTAAATATCCTACAATGCACAAGACAGCGTAGGCAAACAAAGAATTTTCCAGCCCTGAATATCAACAGTGATAAGGTTAACTTATCTCCAACTCCACTCCCAGGGTTGCAAACATCGTACATAACTGGACTCCAGCCATTCTAAAGTAAGTCTATGCTTTTGCACCCATCCCACTATCTGAAAGAACCTTCCCATCACTTCTCTGACAGGCAAGCATCTACCTATTTTCAATATCCAATGTTAAATGTTATCTCCAATATGATACAAAGTTCATCAGCACTTTGTTTACCCTCCTTATGTAGTATATGTTACACTATAACGTAAGTATTCATTTACTCAAAAATATTTAGAGAGCATCTGCTATGGGTTAGACACTTTGGGAGAGACTATGACTGGCTGAGTGGCTATAAGGCACAATCCTTGATCTCAAGAAATTTGCAGCCTAGTGAGGAAGGCACACATATCCTACTAGAGGGACAGATAAGAGTCTACTAAAATAAATCTTGGAGAGCAATCAGGAAGGGTTATTAGAAGTCTGGGAGAGAGAGAAGAAAGAGAGAGGTGATCATGGAAAATGTTACCAACATTTAATGGGTACAGAAAAGGAAAAAAGTAAAGAAAACTGTATATAATTAGACTGCAAGCTTCCAGAGAGTAAAGAGTATGTCTGTTCACTGCTATGTCGTCAGCACCTGAAATATAGTAGGTATTCACATATCTCCAGAAAAAAATAAGTGGAATGAAGCAAGTTAGAAGATTGCGGTATGGCTGGAAAGACAGGAGAATAAGAGAAAATGGCAAGCGAGGCTTCAAAACATGGTCAACAGCCAATGCTTCATGGAGTAAAGGCTAAAGCGATACTGGGTTTAGAATCAGGAAATTACTAGTGATTTTAATAAAGGCTATTTCAGTGGCCTGCTTGGATTAGGAGCAAGATTATGGGGGAATAAAGCATAAACATGCATTATCCAGTCAGGGAAAGCAAAACTTGAGAAAAAGTCCAAAGACCAATGGAAAAATTGGCCTGAGACTGAAATATGCTTTATTTATGAGAGAGATGGAAAGGGTCAAGATGGGTATAGATATGTAGATGAGTTTACAGTGAAAAGCAGGTAAATCAAAGATGCAATAGCTTTCTATTTTCCTTGCAACTTTATAAGTGGCCAAATTACCCAGTACCCGTGTTACCTGGCAAGATGGAATTAAATACACACAGGACCAGAACCCGAGCACTGAAGGGCTCTTGCTTGATATTCCGAAACAAGGGGACACAGAGTCTCTCAAAGATGTAGTACATATAAAATAAGCAACCAAACACCTGGAACACAGCAAAGATACAGTCATAAGAATGATGGCTTGATGAGGAAAGATGGTGATTTTCCTTCAAAAGATACATATGTCACCTCTAATGTTTACATATATATTCCATTTAACACTAGCATATAAGATTGCCAAACTGTACCCTCCAGGTATTACTCGGGCCTAGTTTCTACCATACCTTTTCCCAACCCTTTACCAAATGGCATTTGTTAAAGATCAGACTCTTGGAACCTGCTTTTCCTGCTACATGAACCCATAACAAAAGAATTTATTTCATAAATGGGTATTTGATTGAAACAAGAATTTAAAATGGTATCTTCTGGTATTTGATTCTGATAAGGGGTTAGGGAGGAGTGTAGGGGGTCAGGCCCACATACATATCCAAAAATATAAAAACAGGAGGGGAGGGGGAAATTAATGTCAACACTGACTGAAGTAACCAAATGGAATTACTTTAATTAAATTATTTTAATGAAGAAAATTACTGTTGATGTTAGCAAAACAAACACTGTTCACTGTACTGAGAATAACTTCAAAACTTCAGAAAGAATTCTAACGTTCCCAATAGACATGAATTTATCAACACTTTAAATAGATTAAATTATTACAATAAATTCAAATCCCCATCTCCCACCAATCACCAATCCTTAGACAGTGAAAAAAAACTTACCTGTGCAAACTGCTTAGCAACATAGCCCCACCTTACAGTAGGAGTCCTAAAAAGGAAGGAACAAAATACATTTGCTAAATAAAGTACATTCTGTCAAGAATTACTGTGATCATATCAGACTGCTAGAATCACCATTTGGGGCAACCCAAGCCAGTGAGAAAACAGAAATGAAAACTCATTCTACATTCCCTGTAGCCCTACGTGAATTGGCACCTGTCACCCGTCCCACCTCACTCATGGTGCACACCATGTTTGTACTTCACAGTGCCATTACCTGGGATAGTTGTCCCGGTAGATGAGCGTAGGCGCGAACAAGAAGTACAGGTACTGACCGACTGTCGGTACTGGGACAGTGCCTGGAATAGGAAAATTGGGCTAGGTCAGGAGCTCTCATCAGAACTACAAAGGGAAAGCAAGGAAGCACAGGACAGGGAAGAATAAAATGACCTCTCCTTAGCTTATGTTGTTTTTTCTGACCTCCCAAATGACGACTTCTTATTCTGATATTAATACACCAACCCCTCTACACTAAGTTATTCCTGTGACTTCGAGATAACTTCTAGAGTTTTGAGCAGCAACTCAAAGAGTAATAAGCACACATGGGTGTAATGAGTATAACATTCCATAAAAATTACACAAAGTTACAAGAGTCTAATGATCAATGTTTTTAAACTGTAGGTACCAAAGCAAAATGGAGACAATCAGGAAATAGTGAGATAGTCTTCCAAATCAACGTGGAGCCTCATATTTAAAATCAAACACAATCACAATACCTGCAGGAAAGAATATGCATCCCAGTAAACACCGAAGGCTGAAATACCCTATGAATAATCCTTAGACATAACAGCATTACATACTTGACTTCTCCTTAGCTGAATTTAGTACCCGAGGCACATTCTCTCTGGCAAATGAATGGACCTTCATTATCATACGAATCTAAAAACGGAGGGGAGAGGGAGAAAAAGATGAATTTTCTACCATTGTCTTGTCTCATATAAGCAACCCCAGAACAACACTAGATTGCAGTCATGTAAAGAAAGTTTTAATTTTGCATATACCAACTGAAGTTTACTGTTACAGAACAAATGAAAAATAACCTCTGAAGAAGGACATATTATTTTGCATCCAACAGCACCATCACAGGTATATTACAAATTAAGAAATTAAAAGCCTATACAAAGAAAGGTTCCTGACATGGTCCTTTTCATTAGTCAAACAGAGCATTATGGACAGCCAACGTTAAGAAAATCTGAAGGGTGGATGAACAAAATAAATCCATTCTTTAGATGGGAACAGTTATATGACAAAACAATGAATATGACGGTTCAAAAGTGGGGGTTTTCATTACAAAAACATTTTACAGTATAGATGACAACTACAAAAAGTGTTCAAGAACAAATTTGAACTCATCCAGAACAGTCCAACATTATTTATTTCAATTATTAAGAATCAGAGAATGCTGAAGCTGGAAGAAATTTTATGAGATGAGATGACCTAGTTTAACACTTTAATTTTAGATAACAGCATAAAGAACCAGTTATAAAAACGTATCCAACTAAACCAACTAAAAATAACAGAAAAGCAGTATTATATTCTTATAATAATGACAATATTATTATTGTTCTAATTATTATTTTAACTAAGCATAGCATTGCTTTGGGCAACACTCAAAACCTTACCTGTTCAAATATAATAATGCTCCGGGAAGCTGGTGGCAGGGTATATGCTAATACAGCATATGTTGGTCCAAAACCTAGAACTCCAATCTGGAAGACCATCAAAAGCAAGCCATAGGAAATAGAGTGGATCACTGGATGAGAACTCTTGCTGTAGCCTCTCGCCCAATGTTGAAAGAGAAAATAGGGAATTGAAAGTGTACTCAAGAACATGGCACACCATGTCCATATAACAACAGGTAATTGGCCAAAAGCATAATATATGAGGTTGAACTCAAGCACCAGCCTGTGGGGAAAAAACCGGGAGAAAAGATACAAAAGCACATTTTTCAAAATATGCATTCACTCACAGAATTCAAAACTTTCAGGCCCCAACTCTCAACTTTAGGAATATCATGTTTTTCAAATGTTAAATTCCAATAAGTTACTTATTTTTAGTACCAACCTGAAATGCACACACTAGAAAAATCATATATAGAAAATTCTCCCATTTAGGAAAATTACCTAGAAACTACCAATTATAGTCTACTCAAATAGACCATTTTAAAAAATAAAAGTAATGAAACTTCTAATCTCCTTCTTAGTTGTACTTTTAAGAGAGGAATCTCAACCTCAAATCAGCTGCTTTGGGATTTTCTGAAGTAAATTTAACCCAATCACCCTCTATCAAAATGTAAATATAGCGACAACTCCCAGCACCACCCCGTGAGCCAACCAGCCACTGCCCTTCCCTTCTCACCTCCCCTCGTCGATGTAATCTACCACCAGCGTGCTGAGCACGAACAGGATCAGGAGGGCGATGAACATGTGATATATCGTTCTGATGTGGTCCACCTCAAAAAGCTCGCTGTAAATGCAGTTCGAAGGGGTAAAATGAGTAATCTGCATTTGATTTTAAAACACTATATATTAAAGGCTTTAAAGCAGTCCAGAAGATACTTAATCCACCCTCTAAAGACACCTCGAACAGTAATCACAGAATATTAAACCTGAAGTAGAAACAGTAAATGACACAACCAAGGCAAATCTTAACGGAAGAGCTCAGGGCAAGGCTTTTTCCTATAAAACGATACTGCTTCCTAGAAAACAGCATGGATATCAAACATTTAAAACAAATGGTGTGCATTCTTGAAAACCTAGCAGAAGCGACTGTTTTCTAATGTAGGAAAACAGAGAACAGAAAAACAATTTCAAATGCTAAAAACCTTTTTAAAAAAATCCTATTCTTACATACCACTCCCTACTCTTAATCTATACATACACACATACACACACACATATACATATATCAAGTACTACCTATTTTCCAAGATGTTAAGATTGCATTTCTATAATGCTAATAGTCAACTACCACCCTCCAAGTCTATAAACGTAACCACTTACAAATACTTTTACTTTCTATCCTCTTTGATCTTTTTGGGCTACTTTTAAAACACAGCAATTACTTTCTAAATGACTTTTTCAAAATAAGGATTTTTTTATATTTTATTAAAACAAATGTTTTAGCTTTGTTTATAGAAAGATGTATGCTAATCTCCTAAAAGACATTTTGAGGAATCTAAAATACTATTAAATCTCTGGATTAAGGATCCTCAAGTCCTAATAAAAACTCACCTGAGCCATAGAATGTGTTTTATTTCCTTGACTAAAAAAAATTTCAATTAAAGTATATTTTAATTTTGTTTATTTTTCATATAGTAGAATACTATCATTAAAATCTTAATTATATGAGGGGTGCAGGGGGTCAATGGGTAAAAAGGGGACATCTATAATACTTTCAATAAAGATAAATTTAAAAATATATATCTTAATTATAATGTTCAAAATACTAGTTTTACTTTTCCCTTTTGCATGGAAAGCCTGCATTCCCCCCAAGATAAAGATTTTAAAAGATAAATCTCTTCAAACAATAGTATAGCATAATACTCAAGAGGTATTCTACATTAGATGTTCAGAAAACTTTGGCATTCTCATCAAAATTAAGTAATACAGATCAACCTGGCTCACAGAAAGTCAATTCTGATAAGTATGATGCATTTTTAAAAGAAAAGAGCATTAATCACTTAAGAATCACCAGCCCAACTACTTCAGGTGACCTATACTAATGCAGGTTAAATTATAGCATTATAAGAAGGAAGGAAGGAAGG